CCCCGCTTTTCAAGCTGCTGGATTAGAACTGCCTTTGCCCGACCTATGTACTTGTGTGTATTCGTACAGATTTTAGGCTTTGTTATACTAGACCGGGTGATCTTCTGGTTCTTCCAGCTCGATTCTTGAAACCTCCCCAATATTCCTCCCTGCGGGATGCCTCGAGAGAAAAGATGAATACTCGACGCCGACCAGCTCCCTCACGACTGAGGATGCGTAGTTCCTTTGATCCTTCAATATCGGCTCTTCCTATCATAACAAAGTAGAATTCGGTAAGCGTTGGATCGTTCACCCACTAAGTACATAGAACGATTTATTTTTCAGTGTCGCGTAATACTGTTGCAGGAGAGTCCGGGGACATTGTCGTCATGTCATAATCAACCAGATCGGGCGTAGATCGTGTTGATTCAAAGTTTCTCTTTATTCCTGCTCTGATAGATAATGGCTGAACGCCTCTAAGTCAGAATCCATGCCAGAAAACTGGAATACCACCCGCAAGTACGGAAATTCATGGCTGGTGACTGTATAATGAAGGACGAGAGATTTCTGGGAGTGAGATTGTTTGTTTAGCCAGGTGGCCAACATGAGCTGAGGTGGAAAAGCTGGTGCTGTGCCCAAGTTCCTCTCCCATCGCTCTCCCTAGTTGCAGCCGGATTCTTTTCTTCTCTCCTGCTTCGAGTCCACGCTTCTTTGCTGTTGACACCTTTTGCGATTTAGCGTAGGGGACTGGTTTCGGGATGATCGCCCCGGTGTAACAAAAGGGGAGGAACTTGGTTATGGTTGCTGCTTTTCCTCTGTTTCTGTTCGCGCCACAGGAGGCGGTCGAAATGTCGCCACAGAGGGCGACGGCAAGCGCTCTAGTCGACAATCGGGTGAGGTATACGATATATACACGGTAGAACATTTGGAGCGATATTATTCGAATCGTTCTATTGAGAGAGTTGATTAGACTTGAATGATTCCCAAGGGTTTAAGTGATTTGGGGTGTAAGGACTCGCCTAGGAAAGTTGCCTCAAAGTATCTCTGCAAAACCGTACTAATTGCTGTGCCACCGATGTACACTACCTGCCCAAGCCCTCCTGGGTTCCAGCAGAAGCGTGTCTAGGAAAAGCCATGACCAATAGCACTAGTAAAGGGAAACAACAAGATGATGTAGCATGCCTCATGGAACTTGACGATCATCATGAAGATCACGAGCTTTACTCGTTGCAACAATCCATAAAGTTGCGACTGGTGAATAAAGGCGAAGAAAACAAGGTCCAGTTTACCGCTTCTTTCGTTGCTCTTATTCTCAGAACCATTGGAGGAGGTCACTATAATCCAAAATTAGGCTTTGGTTCTGTCCCGGGGAGTGATTGTCTCAGGTGTTGATCCAGTATTGGGGCCGCAAGTGAGTTAAGCCCTTGTCGACGAATGGGATGGCTTTCCGACTCAGGTTTGAGCGCATGGAGAAAGGCTAGCTGAAACAAGGAAGGGATGCCGTAGGGCTCGTACTCGTCGTATTTGGGCTTCTAGCCATTCGAGGTTGCTCATCCGTTAATCGTGTGTCTTCATATTCATATCGAGATGCCAGCCGGGGGAAGCTCGCTATATGGAGCTAGCCACTGGCAGAATCGCTCTTCTCTCTCTCCCGGACGGGTTCTTTTTATCGCATCTCACCTAGGAGTTTTCGAAGCAGTGGTTATTAGGGTGGTGGCGCTTGGGAGAGAAATGTCCCTTACCCATGGCTCTGCTCTGTTAATAAGAACTGCATTCTGTGTGGATGCGGCGGATCGGTCCCCATGCTGCTGCTGACGATTGTTTAGGCTCGGAAGCAAATGCTGTCCAACATATTGCGATACGAGTGCGAACAGAGGGATACGAGGCGACGAGGTTCGGTCGGAATGAGGTGGAAAAATAATATCCAATGAGTAGCCAAAAGTGTGCATTCTGGGAAATGAGGAAGCGGGCTTGGGACACTCCTTCTAATTCAGGTGGTGTTAGTGAGTTCTCCAGGTAGGCTCCTTTGTTTGGAACAGAGCACTACCACCAGTGTCTGCCTAATGTACGTATCCGGCAGAGATGCTCACCGCTTTGGCGAACTGCTGCCACCCAAGGTACCTACCCAACTTCAAGCTCTGTTAATCGCTTACAGACCACTTTGTCCAAACTTCTCATGCGAGCTGTGTAACCAAAAGACACCCAGCATCATGGCCGCTATGAACAGCAAAATTGATCTCTTCACCTATCCCGAATCGCTACGAGGGAACAAAGCCGCCGCCTACGCGCAACACCGGCGGATCGAACTTCTTGGACATCAACAGCCAAGGAATGAGCCCCGTTCCCGGTAGAAACCCCAGGGCCGCCTCATCATCTCCCATCGACGTAGTCCGCTAACAGCCGTGGGCAGGACGTTTACTTCGATTCGCACCAGTTGATCGAGAAGTTCAAGAACCTGGTACCTCCGACCTCGAGCAGCGCTAATGGTGTGATTGATCGCGCAATGGAGAAGCCATTCCATGACTGGGTAGACCTGGTCGCCTCTCCTTTGGGGGTTATTGCTAGCCCAGCAGCCTAAGCTAGCCCAGCAGCCTAAGTTTAACAACGAGGCCTGGATGAAGGACAAAATGGATCTCTCTGGCCGGCCTCTGAGGGCCGGGGACCATTCCAAGAGAAGGTCTGGGGTTTCTATCAAATCACACTTCCAACTATTCGAGGAGCCCAAGGAGCGACGGTCGAAAGTGGGTACAAGGCTAAGAGGCGACATGCAAGGTAAGCAAGCCGTTGGAGAATTACCTTGGCAGCATGGCTAACAACGAGTAGCCACTTCCGCGATCGCATGGGTTTTTGACTTGCCGAACACTTTTGCTTGACGATTATTCTAGAGACCAGTATTACCCGAATATCAAGGCATCTACGAAGATTCCAAGAGAAGCCGGGCAGAGCACGGAGTACCAACTCGGTCACATCACCATCTGGCCAGGGTACCATGGCGCCTTTTTCTCCGGTCCAGCTTTGCTGAAGAGGCAAGGGAGTTCCCAAGGATCCCACTGCGCGCGAAGGCAAATACCGAGAGAAGCCGATGCTAGTTCCTTGCCACGCCTCCTTACAATGGGAAGTTTAGTGACGCTAAATATGTTTGCAAGCGATCCTCCCAGCAGGATCTATGGCGATCGGTGCGGAGATCACCTCCCATTTTCGCAAATGTCGACGCCACTGCCAGGAAAAAGCCTATTTTGAAATGGTATGTAACTTTTGTCTCTATTGATAGTCACTCGCTCCATTTTACCCCTCGATATTATCATTAACTGTGTATACTCATATCATTAACGCAAAGAAAGAAAGAAACACATCTAGTATGTGATAGTAACCTCGGTGGTTCGTACAATGGCCTTCTTCCCGCCCTCCTCGTGCAGGATCGTCTCTTGGCTCCCAGTTCTCTCAGGGGAACCGTTGCCCTTCTGCGTTTCATACGGACCAGGCGAGCTGGCGGCATCTCTTGCGCTTGCAGTAGCGCGGTACTGAGACCGCAGCTCAAACTCCGTGCCGTCCGTCCTGCTATTCTGTTTGGTGTACCCCTTCGAGCCGGTTCCACCGATGGTGTAGAGCCCCGTTGCCCGACCACTTCGCTGGTTGTTGTATCCACCGGAGCCAGTGTAGCCGTATCGAGGTGTGAGGCTTGTTAGTTGCAAGATATTCCTGACCAAGGGCTTCAGCGATGGACCGCACGCGGCAATGATACCGAGGTTGAGCTGAAGACTGGAAAAAGGTCAGCATGGTGGCTCCGTCTTCAAAAGAACAGGTAAGACTCACAGGCCCCAAAATTGGACATCATAGGTGCTGAAGATAGGGTCGTTAGTCAAGTACAAAGACTTATGTCTTGGAAGCCTGCTTACAAGGTACCATCCCCGAGAGGATTATAGTCGATCTGAGCCACGGCTTTTAGAATGCCCATAGCAACAGCACTGGAGGCTTATTAGCGATGTCTTGGTCGGGAAGCACTGTTCGACTTACACATAGCCAAGACTCAAGACGCCGACGAGATAAAGGCGAGTCTTGAGGGGCATCTTCAAAAGCCAGACAATTGGGATCGGAAGAGTCGCAAAGGCAACATCGGTGAAGATATTGAAGGCTGAAATTTGGTCAGTGATATCGGTCAAAGTTTCGCAGTTGACATGCACTACATACCCGTGTTGATCAAGCCAAACTTGACGAACAAGCTAACGGAGTAGCATGACCCTTCGATACTTGGATCCCAATACTTGGCCATCGGCCTGCAGTACAAAAAGAAGCTGAACCACGCCATCAAGGTGTATGCAACCACAAATCCTAATCCAGGGTTAGATGACAGCCAAAAAGGGGGGCGCGCTTGGTGACGGACCGATGAGGCACCATAGCACGGTATTGTACCATGCCAACGCATTTCCCTTGAGCTTCATGAGCTCGAGCGCAATGGCGATCTTGAGGAATGCGATACCGCCCATCAGCGGTACAATGGACTGGATGAAGCTGAGCTGGTTGAACGGAATGAGATCGGCGGGCGAGACGGTATCTTGGTGACGGCCCAGTCCATACGGCACCTGCATGATTATTGTCACAGTGCCTCCAAACAATGAGCAGAGCTAATTGTCGTTCAATTAGCATGAAGAATGAGACTTGGCGGCTCCCCGCGCGTTACATCGCAGAATGTCATCACCACGGGATGCATGGTCAGGGGTGCAAGCGAAGTGAGTGCCTTACCACGGACAATATCATGAACGCATCCGGGAAAGCGAACGATCGAACCAGGAATAAGCGAGTGTAGGACCTCAAGATGACGATAATGAGGGCAAGGACATGGAAAACCGTGGTCACGCCCACGATCTGGGCCACGCGACTCTCCGCAGCCCTGGCCGGATCGACAGCACTAGTCTGGGTTTCGCTCATCTTGCCGTGATTGCGAGGGCGATCGACCGAAAACAAAGAAAAAGAATATCAAGAGTTGAGATCGAGGGTATGTCACGATATAAGATATCACAATGCGTCTCCCCCGTTCTTTGCGCGCGCAGAAAGGTGGCTTGACTTAGGTCGCCCGTCGTTTCCGATTATTGATTTGGGACGAATATTAATCAGGGAGGAGGGTGAGACTGCTTCTTTCGTCCTTTCTTTCTTTTGCCACGGAATTTGCCACGTTCGTTTTTGGGTCCCGGATGGCGGAACGGGTGTCAAGACCTCCCAAAAGGATTCTAGTCTGGGAAATATCTGTTCGTTCAGGGGGGCAGGCGGCCGCGGATTCGGGCTCGTTTCTCCAGATCATCGTATTTGGCTGCAGGTTCTACGATGAAAAGGGAAAGTCGGCCTGAATGTGAAGAAGGGAGGTGTGGAGAGGCGAAGCTTTAGGGCAAGGAACCAATGCAACTAACACGGCGGCCTGTTCCTGGCTTACATTGATCTCTCGTGGCCTCGGTCTTTCAAGCCACTGCCAAATTCAAGGTTGGCTCCCCCATATCACGCCGTTTTAATCCTCCACCAGGCAATTCGGCGAGGTGAGGCTGGATCTACGGAGTATATGGAGCCAATTTCTAACCACACCAGCGATGAAGCTTACTCCCATTCGGGCGTTTGATGCGAACCGAGCGGGAGATCATCCAATCTCTGTTAGCTGGCCGCGGGCACTGACTAGATGACAGAGAGTTTGTCATCGGCCGAAGTTCGAACGAATTCTAGTTAGCCCGCATTCCAAAGGGCAATTAGGCTAATGCAGCCTTTGATCAAGGCGGAGCAACACACACAAACCAGATGTGGGTTTTCACATAAGCAAGGGCGTTTTTTAAAACCTTAGTTTGGGTTAGGGCAATTTCGTCCCAGCTCCGGGAACTGGATGCCGTCACCTAGAGTCTGCAGTTGATCGAAAGCAGAATAGGCCGTGGTATTTGTAAGACCCGGCATTTCGGGGAACGCCCGGTCAGCTCTCAGCCCCTGGAAAGGAGGGTGACTAGTGAGAGGCAGCACTCCTTCTTGTGAGGCCTCAAGAAGCAACCATCAGCATCAGAAGGTCAGTTCAACATGATCCCCCGCATTCATCAGAAACCTCGCCCAGAAAATAAGGACGCTCTTTACCCGCCGGCTAGCGAGCGGATGTGGTTCTCAACCAAACTTTTGTTCTTGGTCCCTATCCTATCGGGGATTTTTACGGTCATTCGGACAGAAGTGAGTGCCGAGTGAGCGTTGCTAGCTAATCCAATAATTCGGAACTCAGACCGGGAACCGGAAATAACGGCTGAGGGCAACCCATCTTTATACCTCCCTCGCGCTTGTGGCGAGGCGCTAATAATGAGTGTCAGCTCGACGGTCGGTGGCGCTAACAGGAGGGAGTCGAGCCGTCGATACTAGTTTATCACGCATACTATGTATGCTACACTGCCGGCCGCCGTGAGGAATATCAGGAAGACGTTAAACGAGATTGCTCTTCGCTTTTCGTTAGGCCGAATGCGTCTATCAATGCGAACTTCTACTTCCCCGACGCAGGCCGCGGCTCCGATATGCGCCCAGCACGTGTTGTGCCAGGCGCATCGTGCAGGACAGGGGCCGCGGTCGATATTGTCAAGAACCCCTACACATATTTCCAGAAGGGGCACTGCTCGTCCGGATCCAGTACGCTAATCAAAAATCATCCATTTGATCCCAGAGGGGCGGTAGAGTTCGAGATGTCTTTGGAAATCAATAAACTGCCCCCCCAACTGCTTGGCACTTGCACGGTGCCTAGCGCTGAAGGACTAGACTCTCAGGTCAACAGTATACATAGTATAAGGCAAATCGCGAGACGAGGGATCGGCAGTCCCTCCTCGCTCATCTCATTCTTGTCATCGATCCCGTGATTTCACTCGCTACTTGTGTTGGCACGATGCATATCTCACGAGCAATCATCCTGGGCCTTGCCGGCCTTTCGCGCCTGGTCGTGGCCACCGAGGATCAGAACGCTACCGACACTCTCGTCGATCTCAACAGCCAAGCGATTGACGCACTCCAGGAAGCCGCTGATGACACCCAGACTACCAAGAGAGCCAATGGCTGCTCGCTCTCCAACGCCTCCGTTCGCCGAGACTGGTTGGTTTCCCAATCCCCCCCTGTAGATCTTTCCAAGTTTCACGATTGCTGACTTTCCTCCTTCTACAGGAAGTATCTGTCATCCAATGAGAAGAAGGATTATATTAATGCTGTCCTCTGCCTGACAAAGCAGCCCTCCAAGGCCGACCCTGCATTTGCCCCTGGCGCCCGCACTCGATATGACGACTTTGTTGCCGTTCATATCAACCAGACCCTGAGCATCCACGGAACTGTAAGAATCCCCGCCCTCCTGCCACGCTCGTGGATGATTCTTTGATTCTAACCATCCGGATAGGGTAACTTCTTGACATGGCACCGTTACTTCACCTGGGCCTACGAGACCGCGCTGCGCAACGAATGTGGCTACAAGGGAGCCCAGCCTGTAAGCACCAGCGCCACCACCTTGGTTCATTGAGATCCAAGATCTAACATTGCACAGTACTGGAACTGGTTTGATGGCTCCGACTTCAAGAGCTCGCCCCTCTTCGATGGAAGCGACACCAGCATGAGCGGTGATGGATCGTACGTCCAGCACGACGGTGCCCTCTCCGGCCTCAACAACATTTACATCCCCTCCGGCAACGGCGGCGGCTGCCTCAAGGACGGTCCCTTCAAGGGGTGAGATATACCAAATGAAATTCCCGTGACACCAGCCGTATGCTAACCCAGCCCAGACTCCAGGTCAACCTGGGACCCGTCTCCCCCGGCATGGCCGGCATGACAGCCAGCCCGACCGGCCCCATGGGTTACAACCCCCGCTGCCTGCGCCGCGATCTGAGCAGCTACCCCGTCAACACCTGGTTCACCGCCCGCAATCTTTTCAACGTGACGCTCGGCGCCGCGTCTGGCAGCATCGCCGCCTTCCAGAATGAGCTCCAGGGCCGGTTCGGGGACCAGTTCCTCGGCATGCACGCCGCCGGCCACTTCACGATGGGTGGCGACTCGGCCGACCTGTTCTCGTCGCCTAATGACCCCATCTTCTTCCTGCACCACGCCATGGTCGACCGTCTGTACTGGCTCTGGCAGGCTCTGCACCCCAGAGTGGCCAAGGATATCTTCGGTACTATTACCATTCTGAATATGCCCCCTAGTCGCGATGCCTTGAAGACCGATATTCTGAACTTGGGTGTCCTTGCGCCGTCGATTAATATCGCGGATGCGCTGGATACGCTTGGCAACTCTCCTTTCTGCTACATTTACCTGTAGGACTGTTTGGCAGGTGCGCATTGAGATAGACCGAGATACGAGACGAGGTAGACTTAGTAGTAATTATTTGCTTCTAGCAAATTTAATAATTCGAACTTTTAGTTCTAAATATGAGCGCGATGTTTGTCCATGTTGTATGCGAAGGATCAATCTGTAGGATGTTGTAACTGGTAAATAGATGTCATTCGATCCAGCTGGCCGACCATTGTATAAACCTGTTGCGTGCTGGATTTTCAAAGGAGTGACCTGCGAAAAACATTATCATCAACATAAACCATGATGCAACTTTAGGCTAGCGAAGCTGGTAAAGGCACATGGTGGTACATGAGGAAATATTATCTTTAAATTCAATTCTTTAGCCGGGCATGAAATGTGACGCATGGCCTGTAGCTGCCCAAAGTGTAGGGTAGTGCTTGCTCCTACCAGCTCCCTCCCTCCTGGGGTGAGGTTGCTAAAATTATGGGATATAAGTCTGCGAATACCCCCTTGCTAGCTATCTAATGATATGTAAATTATAGAATTTCAAATAGCTATAAATCTTTTAATTTTAATCTAAATTATATATAATATTATGTGAGGATAGCTAGGAACCTATAGATTAATATTTTGTATATGACCCTCTTGCCCGGATAACTATAAGGATATAGTATAGGATTAAGTTAATCAGCTTTTAAATAAGTACTTAATTAATCGCTCTCTATACTTCTTACAGCTACTTAGCTAATTTTGCTCTATTAATCTTATTATCTTATAAATCGTGAGTTTTAGGGTGTTTCTTTATTAATATATCTTTTAAAGCTTTTTAAATGTACTTAATTGGGTTAAGATCGGGTGAGTATAGCGGCTAGTTAATAAACTTAATTATGTATAATTAGAGCTACTCCGGTATACCTTTAAATATATAAATTTAAGTATTATCTTATTAAAATTAATAAGTTCTGTTATAAATAGGAAGAAGGGTCTCTTCTAATACCTTATAATAGCTTTTAGCTATATATCCCCTTTATAAAGAGGTCTTATTATACTCTATAATAACCAGTTTAGTCCAGCCTTCCCTCTAGATATCTGCTTATACTATAATTAATATTTTTAACTTCCTATAAACTATAATATTTATATATTATTATAGAAACTTCTTATAAGGCTTTCTAAAGATCTAACTGTATTTATTATTTAGTTATAACTATATAATTAACTTATTACTAAAGATTATCTAATATATATTAGTTAGCCTGATTATAGCTAAAAAGCCTATATAAGAATACTTATAAATACCTCTAATAATAGATAAATATTATCCTTCTAAGCTCTTACCTATTAAAGCCTAATCTTTATAGTTTCTTTTAATAAAGATATCCTTTATATAGTTCTCTATTTATATATATAATACTTCCTGTTGAATTTACAGTAGGTTTACAGGGCATTTGCCCTTATAAGCCTCTATAACGCAGCAGGGAAGTTCGCTATAACTCACAGTTCTCAACTGCTAACTCCGCTATAACTCAATGAGTTTTAGTACTGGAGGGACTAAATATAGTGCAAAATATAGTACAAAAGAATCTTATTTTTGTGAGAGAGACCAGAAAATTCTATCTAATTTCTCTTATAGGTCTACCGACTAAATACTACTCTAAAACCCGCTACAGCAGCTTCCCGGGCTACTTTTGATTTTCCGCAAAATTCATTACTATAGGAAATCTAAAAAATTAACTCACAACTACTAAAACCTTCGACCGATATATATAGCTTTTATAAGACCCACTTTTATCTGAAAGAGGCTCTTAAGCTGATCAGTTGAGTATAGATATTAAATACCTTATCTTTAAAGCTGAAGGAATTATCCAAGATCTAAGACTTAGTCTAGGGTAGGCTAGCTATAGGGTAGCCTTGGTATAGGTTAGGTCATCTGAGAATATCATAGGATTTTTCCCGGATTTATTAGACCTTTATCTGGGCTTGATAAGCCCGATAACCTAATAATAGCTCTGTTGGTGGCCCGGACCCCTGAGGGTTCCTAGGGCCCGCTAAGCCGTAGCGGTCATAGCGGTCTGTAGCCACTGACCCACAGTGGCTGCAGCCGCTATTGGCTAGTGAT